AAGAAAAGAGCACAAGGAGAGAATGCAGGGTAGGGAGGAGAAAAGAAAGAGAGGGGAGGAGGAAGTGATAAAAATTAAAAGGGGAGAACAAAGGCGAACAAGGAGATGCGGTGTCACGGTGTGACAGAGTCAGAAACAAACAACTGAAGACGTATATGGTTCGACCTTCGAGTGTTTGGGAGCGTCGGAGAGAGAGGGGCACACCCAAGGCCACGGCTTCGTTCGACAACCAAGTAAATCAAACAGAAAAAAAAAAAAAAAAAGACAAGAATAAAAAGAAAAAGAGAGATGAGGGTAATGTACAAGACATCAACATACCATCACATATACTTCTACAAAAGTTCTGTCTGTATCTGGTCTACTGTATTCACAATGTTCACCGCTCCCGATAGTAGATGTACCTACCCAACTGACCGTTGGATTTCTTCTTCTGTCTAAGGTGCCCAACCGCCTCCCCCTCTTCATCCCGCTTGCCCTCTTCACCGCCATCAGTCCAATTGCCTCTGAGAGATGCTCGAACTGGTTGAGTTGGATCTTGACCTTGGTACCTCCTTCTGACCGTAGATGTACCTACCCAACTGACCGTTGGATTTCTTCTTTTGTCTAAGGCACCCAGGGGTAGACAAACCCAACCACCTCCCCCCCTTCTTCATCCCAATTGCTCTCTTCATCGCCATATCTCCAATAACCCTTGGGAGATTCTTCGACCGATCGAGGTAGATCCTGACCCTGCTCTTCGCAGACCATCCCCTCCTCCCCCTCCACACCTCCCTCCATCCCCCCCTCCATCTCCCCCTCCATCCCCTCCATTTCCCCCCTTTCCTCTATCTCCACCTTATCCATCATTGCAACTAGCTCCTGCTCAGACCTTTCTCCACTGAGCTGATCACATCCCTCTGCAGCTGATGGCATATAATCCCAGGCCGTACTCATCACGAAGTCGTCCTCCTCCTGCTCCTCCTGCTCCTGCTCCTGCTGCTGCTGCTGCTGCTGGCACTGCTGCTGTTGTTGGTGCTGCCCATACACATTCTGCACTTCATAGGAACGAGAACGTATATGCTGCCCGTATACGTCCTCTGCTTCAGAGGAATGAGAACGCATATGCTGCCCAAATACATTCTGCGCTTCATAGGAATGAGAACGTATATGCTGTCCATATACATACTGCGCTTCGTAGCCCTCGCTGAAGTAGTCCCCATCGTCGGAATCGTCGTCCTCCCCCATGGTGCTGTCCGTGCCGCCGTTCTCCAAGCTGTGTCCAGATGCATCTGAATAACCCCTCCAGCGTTGCCACAGTCTCCCCTCTTCTTCGCGTTTCAGATCCTCGGCTTCTGGGTGCCGAAAATAAACCTGCAACGTATATGAAAATGAGTCGGTGAGGGCTCCAACGAGTTTGCATGCGACCAACATACCGCATGTCGACTTCCAGTTCAAAATTCAAATAAGAAATGGTTTAAAATTTGCACACGTACATTTCGGTTCTCAATATCGCTGAGCAGTGAGTTCAACCGTATTCTAAGTCTGGGCAAAGAAACACTTCGAAGAAAAACACCGACACACACACACACAAAAAAAAAAAAAGGTTAAAAAACACACTGGAATGAGAAAGCATGAAACTCCAGCATTTGAACAAACGACAACACTGATCTGGCATCTGATCATCATTACGTGCACCACTTGAGACACTTGAGACACTTGAGACACTTGGGACACTTGGGACACTGAGACACTTGGAACACTTGGGACACTTGGGACACTTGGGATCTTCATTATGTGCATCTCTTGAGACACATGAGACACGTGGAATCATCCTTATGTGCATCTCTAGCGACACTTGAGACACGTGGGACACTTGGGATCATCATTATGTGCATCTCTTGAGACACTTGGGACCATCATTATGGTGCACCTCTTGGGACACGCAAAACAATTGGGACACTTGAGCACTTCGGACACTTGGGATCATCAGTATGGCGCAACTCTAGAGACACCTGAGAGAAGCTGAGACACATGGGACACTTGTGACACTCGCGACACGGTGTCGGACGGGGGTCCCTATCTTGTCCCTTCTCTCGTCAGACAACACTACCAGTCTCCCCGTACCCCCCCCCTCGGCAGTTAATCTGTCGACAACTTGGAAAGCCCAACCCTCACGGCAGCTGTAGCGGCCCAAGTCAAGCGCAGACGGGACGAGTCAGAAACCAGGCTCGAAAACCCAGTCCCAGGGCTGCCCTCGTTCTCCCGCCTCCATACCTCAAGACTGCCCCTTCCAATGGCAGCGAAACAACTGCCTTGTGAGCTAAACTCAACAGTTCCCTACCCATTCCAGATCGAATCAGAAAGATCACACAGTCAACCAACTCACCAAGAGTCACACATCCAAACTTCAATCTTCGAAGTTCACCTGCTACGGGCCTTGCCCATTTCGATAGCTCTCTCTCTCTCTCTCTCTCTCTCTCTCTCTCTCTCTCTCTCTGTTGCCCACGCGCCACTCCCTCTCATGCTGTAACATAATACTTTTCACGCCCGCTAACCGAACTGAGCTTACCTCGACCCATTGGACAAACCCTGAGGTATCCGTGAAACCAAGCACATTGAAGGCCAACCTGTTCCCCCTTTCAAACGACATCTTAGGCACAACAGCCGTAGACGCAAATCCATGAAGGCCTCGAACAGAGGGCCATCGCCGTTTACATCATCACTGACCACGACAAACGCCTCTGTCAAGATCAGATGGCTAATTCCGTGACCAGAGAAACACACCTAGTCCCCCATTCGGCTATATAATACTCTTCACCCTCCCTTCTTGCGCGCTCTACTCTCCAATTGCACTCCTCTTCACACTCCCTCCGTAGCCCTAACGGAGTATAGATGAAAGACTATCCTGTCCCGTAGTCGCAGAGTCCATTTGCTGATTGGTTGGCTGGTTGGCTGGTTAACACCGTCAACAAGCTATCCAATCTGCAGACTGAGGAGTTCGTGCAGAAAATAACTCGGTAGACGTGAATGAATAAGCTGAAGAGCGCACCCAGGTGAGAAGATAGTAATTTGAAAAGAGCACCACTCGCCTTGGCACGAGCTCAAAAAACGATTTTAATCCCCCGCAAAACCCTTCTCTCAAGCATGCATTCCCACACGCCAAACAGAGTGGCACGAACTCGGAACGAAGACTGTAATCCTCGCAAGACCCTTGCACGCATGCATTCCCAATACCTCTAGCTACTCTCTCTCTCTCTCTCTCTCTCTCTCTCTCTCTCTCTCTCTCTCTCTCTCTTCTTCCTGCTTCACTCTTGCCGCTGCTACCTCCCGCACGCTAGATTCTTGGCTGAACACCCGCTGTTATCTCGGATGTATCTGGCCGTATCAGCGGTTGGATACATTAAAAAGGAGAAAAGAAAAACGAGCTCCGATACGAGGCTGCAAACAGCAAGCTGACACTGCTTCAGTGCCTTCTCTCTCTCTCTCTCTCTCTTTCTCTCTTCCTCGCGCGCGCGTTTCTACTCCTCCGGCGCGACACCGCAGCACTTTCTTGAAAGTATCTGGCCGCTGAGACCGTCGGGTACATGAAAGAAAAGATCTCCTTCCGGAGCGGGAGCTGCCACGATCTCAGTGCGGCTTCTCTCTCTCTCTCTCTCTCTCTCTCTCTCTCTCTCTCTCTCTCTCACACACACACACACACACACACACACACACACTCGCACACATACAAGACACAAAAGAAGTGAGTCCGCCTTTCGAATGTACCTGACCGCCTATGCCGTTTGGTGCATTCAGGGGGGGAAGGCAGGTTCCAATATCAGCGTGAACCACGATCAAGGCGGGCAGGACAAGTGCCCCGATGAGGGTGATCATGAGGAACTCATCATGCCCCGTCACACAAACAAGCGCGATCACCACAATGAGGGCGGGCACGACGAAAGCGGCCTCTCCGACGAACACGACCCATATCCGAAGGAAGGCGATCACGAAGTGTTCCTCGACCACCAAAACCAAGATAACGACCGCAATGACCGCCAGCAGCAACATTATCAGCTGCGGTACCTCGATAACGACCACAAACAGCACCATGAAGACGAAGACCGCCGCTCGCCACGACGAAGAAGCCCATCGAGCATCGCGACGAAGCAGCGTCGAGGACGCAGGTGCAGCCTGAGCCTTCACGAAAGGGACCTCACCGGTGCAGCCGCACGATCGCCAGCAGCATCTCGACGACGGACACGAGCAGCGGCTATGGCCGTTCACCTCTCTCATTAGCTCGTCCACCCGTCATGTCGCGTCCGAGCGGCATATGTAGTCTCCCTCCGCAATCGCCCTTTCCTGCCGGTGCTTGTCCCGCTCTCTGCGTCCTCTCCCCCACCGTGCGCTGCAGCCGCACGATCGCCAGCAGCATCTCGACGACGGACACGTGCAGCGGCTATGGCCGTTCACCTCTCTCATTCGCTCGTCCACCCGTCATGTCGCGTCCGAGCGGCATATGTAGTCTACCTCCGCAATCCCCCTTTCCTGGCGGTGCTTGTCCCGCTCTCTGCGTCATCTCCCCCACCGTGCGCTGCTCCTTCTCCAGTGTGCTCCCTCTCGAGCTTCCCGTGCGCTCCCCACACACCGGACCGTGCGCTCGTGCCCCGCTACGTGCGCTGTATCTCCCCTCTCCTTGCCTTCCCAGGCAAAAAAAAGGTCCCCCTGTCAGCTCCCCTCCTCCCTTTATGCTCCCCTGGTCGGCCCCGACCAAGTGTTGCCCTGACGGCTGCAGCTGCTGTTCCCGCTGGTGCGCGCACGCGCGCCTCAAGACTCCGAGAGGCAGTTATCAAGAACTGTCTCCCGTATGTGCGTGCTTCCTTTCCCGCCAGCAGTGTTCTGCTTCTCCTCCCCACCTTCTCCTGCACCCACCCACTTCTCTAGGCTAGGTACGACCCTTTTCCAGCTCTACAGCGAGGCCACACCTTCCTTTCCATATGGTCGCCCGCACCTCAATTGCTTTGTCATGGGCGGGAGATTTCGAAATTTCGTAAAATTTCCGTTTTCGAAAAATTTTCGTTTTCCCGCCGACCATGCTTCCTCTCTTCCTCGATCCTTGCCTTTCTTCCCCCTCCAATCCTGCCTGTTGCGCAGGCCGCTCATTTTCCCATAGTCCGCACCTGAGGAGGGGTCCATACGAGCCTAAGTAGACCAAGCCCCTCCCACCAAGGCTCGCAAACCTGCAAATGTGGCCCTCTCAAAGCGCCCTGCCCTATTCAGCCCTTTCGAGATGGCCTGCCGCATCAGTGACTCGAGATTCAGGCACACTCCTGCTCATGCAAGCACCCCCCCCTGTATTAGTCACAATCCTAGGGGCGTGGCCGAGCACACATCCATACAGCGCAGCCAACCCGATTCCCATACATGCCCACACATGAACCGCACAGCTCGTATTAACACCACACAGTCGGCCTCTGATATCCCATCCGAACGGCCCGTCGACAACCCTTCCAAAACCCCTCAGCGTTACAAACGGCCGTCGTCAGCCTTAGTGGATTTCCCTTGTAGAAGCATACCATGGCCGAGCCCCATAGACGAACGCTCTCAACTGTGCCATCCGGACCTTGGTCCTATTTGCCGTCACCAATCGTTGCCGCTTCGCCCCAGGGCCAAAAGTGAGGAAATTCGGGCCCTCCGAGACCCCCTGTTTTCACCGTCCCGATGTTATTTCCTCATACCTCACACGAACACCCCGCACAGGTCCCGCACTTCCCAACTCGACCAAAAACCCTCAAGCATGCGCATCCAAAACCCTAAAACAAACAAGAAACGGCCAATAATAATCCCGGAACAAGCACACGCGTTTAAAAAAAGGGCCCGGCTGGTAGGCAGCCGCCCGACAACGGGTCACTTGGGATGTAACCAAAAGAAACGGCTCCAGAACTCCAGATGTTCATTAATACAGCGCATTTCCTGGTACACTTGGGATGTGAACGAAAACGAGGTTGCAAGAGTTTCAGATGATCCAGATTCGTGTATCGCTGGATGTCAATATATATGGTTTCAGACCCACTACCATCTCTCCCGAATACAACATCCGGTCATTATAACTGAATTTGGCATAATGGTCATATGTTCTATTTTTTTTTTTTTTTTTTTTGTGTGTGTGTGTGTGTGTGTGTGTGTGTGTGTGTGTGTGTGTGTGTGTGTGTGTGTGTG